CGTTTCCTATCATATACCACTTGAGTCCCCATCCCACCCCCTATAACATATGTAAGAACCATGGCGCTATCATTGCTGTGACCCGAGCTACGAATTTCGTGACAAACACACACACACACACACCTACACACACACACAGACATACTTAGCGAATTATATATAGTAGGATCATATTTATTCGAGCATCCCATTCATCCTCAAGAACTCTAGAAGGTGTAGCGGTCGAAAGGTGTTTGAGTTTACAATTACAACGCTGATGAAATGATATTGAAATGAAAGGTACAATCTGCTCTCTATTTTCTATTTCAAGTGCTCTCTACGTTCGTACGCATATCGTTACTATCAGTCCTCATCAGTCGTTATCTTTTGACCCCCACCAAATATGTTCCCGTCCCACCCCCTATATCATGTCCCAAAATCAGCTCCTGACGACTGCTGCGAAGCGCACTATGAATTTCGTGAAATTTGTGTTTCAGCGCCTCTTATCTGCTCTTATCAGTCGTTATCACTTTGGTGACCCCCACCAAATATGTTCCCGTCCCACCCCCTATATCATATCAAAAAATCAGCTCCTAACGACTGCTGCGACGCGTGCTATGAATTTCGTGACACACGCACACACACACACACACACACAGACAGACAGACATAGCGCTTTATATATAGTAGGGATAAGATACAGCCTTCAAGTGTCGGTGGGATCTACACTCTAATCTTTCGTTAGATCAAAATTTAACTCCTGTCTTCCCTGCTTTTTTACTTTTTCTAATGCCTCGTGAATAAGGAATTGTTGGGCTATAGTTAGTAGAAAAGTACTGTGACAATTTGATGATGCCCTTGTTTTGTTTCTTACGACTGCCATATGCAGCGTTACAAATAAATGAATCAAAATAAATATGACATCCGTTTCGAATACTGCTGTAGACGGAAGTCACTATCACAACTTCACTAACAGAGTACCCCGTCGCCCACACGCATTGGCGATCACTGTTTTGAAATGCGTCGAAATTTCAGATTTGGCGGAAAGTCTGTACAGAGCTACATAGCTCAATCTTCTAAAAACGAATTTTATATTTTATTTACTCTCAGTGTCATTTGGCACCAATCGGACTACCCACTTTCTTTCGCCGGACCTTTCAGTTGGTATGAGGTGACAGAATCTGTGCCAAACGGCTCCGTTACTGGGAACGATCGATAGTAGGAGAATCGGAAATCGATCTTACGACCTCTCACCTACGAGTCAGGAGTACTACCATCCACATCAAAGCACCACAAGGCTTTCTCCCCTGCTTGGTTCACAAAGACGCCTCCAAATAGCGTTTGACTAAGTGTGGGAGAGAAAACTTCCGCGCTCCGTTCGAATTATTGCTCGGAACATTAGAGTAGAGGTTTTAGCTCAATGTCTCAGCGCTAATGCAACGGTGTACACGCTGACTGCAAAAGGCCGACCGATCGTGATAAGCCTTATTCTTTGTTATCTAGGATTCGGACTGATTAGAGCGTGGATGAACGCGATGCGCTCCAAACTAAGCGCCACAGTTTCAGGCTGTGAATTAGTTATCGTATGTATGCTATACGAAGTTATTACGTTGAATGGGGGATGTGATACAGTAAGAAATAATGTTGTAGACGATAATAATCACTTTTAAGTAGCAATGCAAAAATATCATTAGTAATAAAGCGAGTGACCGTTGAGACTTATAAATGTAGTGTAAAATGTTTAACTCACTTTTTCTGCAAGTAAAGTACTATTCTGGAACATGATCTTCTCTTTTCAGATGATGTGATTCCGTTTCTGAAACCATTCCGGAAGATGGACAGCCGTGGAGAGCCGATTCGGGCCATCTTCGTAACAATTCTGATCTGTTGGATGGGAATTCTTATCGCCGTCATCGAAAACATCACCGCACTAATCACCCAGTCAGTTCAATCAATCCCTTATTCTGCACCCTGTACAGTAGGATTCTTCTGTAATTAAAAAATGTAAAATGTTTGTAGCTGCTTTCCATTGCAAAAAAGAAATCGCAAACTATCCAAAAATACTTTATTGGCTAACGTTTCGGCCGTGTCGCCTTCGTCAGAGCCTGGAAGCAAGTCAAAGATAAGTGCGACCTAACCTCCAAACGCAATTTCGAACTTCAGAGCAATTCGTTCTAGACTAAAGGCATCTAGATAGGAGGGGCAAGGCTACAAAAGCAATCCAAGCAGTACACGTAATGCCAAGATTTATGGATAGTCGAACATTGGAAACTATCCAAAAATATTCGAAATAAATGCCGATTTTCTTGTAAACGCCAGCATTAGTGATGGAAAGTAACAATTGCGGAATAGAGGAAAAAAGTTGTGGAAAAAACGGTTTTCTGTATTTGCTTGTGTGGACGGAAACATCATTGCAATTCCCTCTGGTTTAAACATCGATCCACGTATTAGGTTTCAACGTAATTATTGAAACACAGCCGTAGACCTCATGCTTGTAGGTTGACTCTTCAATAAAAAGTAAATGAGCAAAAATTATTTATTGCCTTCTACCTTTCTACTTCTTCGAGGTCTGCAATAACGGACTTCAGTTAGAAAGTTATTGCTTTTTCAGATTCTTCCTGATGTGCTATTTGGGCGTGAACACCGCATGCGCTTTGCAGTCTCTGCTCAAATCACCCGGTTGGAGACCTTCATTCCGGTATTTCCATTGGTGAGTAAATGAAGTTAATGCCGAAAAAGCTGCAAGGGTGGCTGATGGAATGACGGCTGTTGAAAAGAAGATCCATGAGCATTTCGAAAGCTTTATCTGCTTCAAATTTTTTGGTGCACTTCTGCACTCGGAATAGATTTAACCATATGT